TGTGAATAAAAAAAATGATAATGTAATTCTTTTGTGCTGCATATCATTTGCAGTCATACATAAAGGTCTTCACTCCTGAAACCTGGGAAAGATTCCCTGATGAGTCTATGGAGTTCAGCTTCCAATCAAAATGAAATTGAGGTAGGGAATTAGATGTCCCAAAATGCGGACTTCAGAGACTTTCTAAAAAGTTTTATCCAACTATTATATATAATATGGGAAGAGGAGGAAGCACAGAGAATTGTGAAGGAATGGGGAATGTTTGGCTTTGAGAAGAGACATCCAAGCAGAGTAAGTAGCCCTGTTCAGGTACCTTGGAAAACATCATGAAGAAGAACGTCAAAGCCTGTTCATCTCAGTGCACAGAATATTGGATTTAAATTACTGGAAGACAGATTCCGGCAGAACATTTTTTAAAATTTTCTTATTAGTAAGAATAGTTTGAACCATTTATCCAGAGAGATAAGGGCTCTCCTTCATGGGATTTATGTACAGGTAGTCCTTGAATTATGAGCACAATTGAATTCCACGTTCTGTTGCCAAGTGAGATATTTGTTAATAGAGTTTTACTCCATTTTTACAACTTTTCTTGCCTAGTGACCTAGTGCCTTATGTCCACAATAATATGTCCCAATTAATGTAGTTAAATGAGAACTACTTGTATCTTAACCTTAAAAAAAAGGAGTTTCTCACTGATATGAAATTTCTCCTTAGTTCTAGGTTGCTTCTCTCCTTGATTAGTTTCCATCCATTGTTTCTTGTCCTGCCTTCAGGCGCTTTGGAAAATAGGTTGACCCCCCTTTTTTTTTCTTTGTGGCAGACCCTCAAATATTGAAACACTGCTATCACGTCTTCCCTTGTCCTTCTTTTCTTTAAACTAGACATATCCATTCCTGCAACCATTTTCCATATGTTTTCACCTCTAGCCCCCTAATCATCTTTGTTGTTCTCTGCACTCTTTCTAGAGTTTCTATATCTTTTTTATAATATGGTGACCAAAACTGGATGCAGTATTCCAAGTGTGCTCTTACTAAGGCTTTATAAAATGGTACTAATACTTCATGTAATCTTGATTCTGTCCCTAGGAGTGTGTTGGCTTTTTTGGCTGCTGTTGCACCCTGCTGGCTCACATTTAAGTGATGAAGTGATTTAAGTTTCTAGAAGACTCAAAGCTGTATGTTCAAACAGAAGATAGTTATCTACTGTATCTATCCAGAAAGTCTTCATTTGGATTCCTACAGGGGGAGAGGTTTCAGTTTAAGAGCTTCAGTTGAGCTCTTAAATCATAGAATTTTAGCCTCCCTTTTTTTTCTCTCTTTCAATACATGACGAGGTGGGATGATTCCCACAAATTCAGAGCCCCTTGTGAGAGAGTGGAACATCAGTTGGATAACTACTACCAAACTTGGAGAGGTGGAAAGGTGGCAGACAAGAGAATTATGAGGAGACAAGCAGATAAATAGTCAGATGTTTCTTTTATTGAGGAATCAACACACAAGAGAACAATCATGCCTTGTTCTTTGTTTAAATGAAAGGAGAGGATAGCTTTGTACCTGACTTTGCAATATAATTAACTGCTTCACATAAATTGGTTTTAGAGTTCCAACTTCATTTTATTTTAGTTTGTCTTTGACTGTCTCCAACGATAATATCAATAGCTTAAACAGGTTTGCTTCTATAACAGAAAAACACTCCAAGGAGAAGCTGAAGAATGAGAGGAAGGAAAGGAAAGTATTTCCTTCCTATTAGTTCACTGGTTTTATATTATTTAAGATTACAATAGTGGTCTCTGGGCTAATAAGTAAAGATCTTTCATGCTCCTCTTAGGTGAGAAGACGTGTTCAGTTATATAACTTAGCCAGAATGAAAAAGCAAAACTTCGAGTAAACAAGATCTAAGTGTTCCCTTTGGCCAGAATTGTCTCCCGTTCCAAATACAGTGGATTTGGAGTGAAAGAGAATATTTGAACACCCCCAGATTTTACGATTGGAGAAACCTAATTTCAAATCAACAGATGAAGGAATTAGATGTTTTTGGAATTATTACTGGTGGATTGTCCTGGGGACAAAATGATTGTGTAATGACTACCATAGAGTCAAGGATCATGGCAATTCTAGATTGTCGTGAGCTAGGAAAGGTAGGACTTTTAAACTTCTTAAAAGTGTCAGAAAAGAAAAGTCTTAGTTTTTAGTTTGCCATCCACTGGAAGAATCATGGAGCCTTGAGAGGCAGCCTTCTGACACACTGATTCTGCCCATCCAAGCTGGTTACTGCTTCCTTTGGGACAGGAAATTGGATCAAATCAGATCATTATTGCAGTCATGGACCAGTGTTAAGAAGAGTGGGGTACAGTCAATTAAAAAAGCACAAGAGGTACATCAGAATCTAAAATAAAAATATTTTTTAAAAGCTAAAAGATATAAAACAGAAAGAATATATATAAAAACCAAGCATCTAAAAGGATTTGATTTGGGGCAGGAATGAATGTAAATGCCAGCTGAGCCTTTTTGGAGAACAGGTGACATGGAGAAAAGGTAGGAATTTATCTGGATATAGATACAAGCTGATTAGGTTAGGCAGGGCTGTAAGGCAGAGGTAAGAAAATCTCTGGTACTCAAGATAAAGCCTGAACATTGACGAGAGATGTTGGCAGTTGTGTTTAGCATCCTCTGGGTAGTGTTACTCAACCGTAGGAACTCTAAGATGTGTGGCCTTCAACTCCCAGAGTTCCCCAGCTAGCCATCTTAGAGTGGTCAAGGTTGAGAAAGACTGCTCTGGGGTGTCACTGGCTGCCTGCTTAGTATAAATCTTTCCTCCAATTTCCCTGTTTTCTTAGTCTCCTGACAAAGCTTTATGCATCCAGTATAATGTTCTAAAACAATACTTACAAGCCTCTAAAGTTTGTGATGCTCTCTGAGCTTGGTTTTTTGCTTGCAGATGTTTCCTCGCCTAAGTTGGTAATATCAGTGGGAGTAACTGTGAGATTTTCTGCTCTTTATAGGCATTAGCTTGCCCTGCCAATTTTGGTGGAGGTATAATTTCCTCCTTGTGGTTCCTTGATTAGAGTATTATTCCTGCCTGTTTGTCTGGGGCTCTTCTCTGCTCATCTGCATGTGGGCAGCTAGAAGGGGGGAGGTGTTGTAGTTCTTTTGTTTTCTCCTAGGTTTTCCATTGGCTCTTTTGAATGATGTGTAAATGTAGTTTATCTCTATGTATCTATTGATGGCTGATTTATGTATATTTACCTGAGAGTAGGCTCATTGTAGGGGTCAGAGATGATTAGCCCCAGCTATATTTAGGAAGAGAGAAATACTCCTGGAAATTAAATCACATATTGCTCCAGTCTTGTATGGTCTGATCCTTGTGTGCTTTGTACATTTGTGTACAAATCATGCTTTTTGCCTGATTTTGAACCATGCATGTGAATAAGGGCTTACATGCTGAAGACTGAAGTTAGAACTATAGCTTAGTCTGATGAATTTAACTGATTCACAATCTAATAATGCCAGAAGGGGCAGGAAAATAATTATGTAAGACAAAGTCTTGCATTCCTTGTCCATGTCAGTCCACAGTCCAGCCTTCCACCTGAAAACACTCCTCTGCATAATTTATGCCAGGAAGCAAAATAATTTAGGTTCAATAGACCAAGTTGGAATTTTGGGAACATGTTATGGACACTATCACCAACTGGCCACCATGGATGATGACTTGCCTTCTCAAAAAATGATGGCTTTGATGGGGTCTCGTCAGGCACAAATCATCTGTTTATCAGAAATCAAGCAGGTGAAGGATGCTCTTTCTATCACCCTAACTGGGCTTTCTCGTTTTTAACTTCAGTGGAACAGGAGCTTGAAAATGGCTTCAAGGCCTTGCAGACCTTCAAGGGGTGCTTCACTTTGATCAAGGTTCAAAGGAGAACCAGCTCAAGCTGCTTTTTCAGAAGACAATGGGGTATATGGCTTTACTTGTTCCCCTGCCTTTCCTAAGAGAGATTATGAGTTGAGGCAAGTCACATTGTGTCTCCACTTTAATAAGGCACATCACATCACCTTCACAATGTGAAGCTACTCATAGAAGCCTGATCGTTTCCACTAACAATTTATTTTGCAAAGAAAGTCCTCATAAATTCAAGTCAGTAGGAACAATGTAGGAACTTGTCTCTTAATGAAAATGAAAGTAACTACAGTTGCTGCAAATGAAGTAACTACAGTTTGTTTAACAAGTCATCATTTAGAAAATCCTGGTATATAATATTAAAAGTAAACCCATTCAGGGAGTAATGTCAGATCGTCAAGACTTCAGTAAGGGCAGGATCATGCCCTATCTTTCCTGGGGTTGAAAGAATGATCCTGAGATACGGCCTTTTCATACCATTTTTTCCAGAAGCAACCATATTATTTCTGTTCAATATCAGCTAAAGCTTTGTCAAGTCTTCAGAATCAAAGAATTATCACAGAGATGAATGATGGCTTTTGAGTGAGTTTGTGATCTTGATACCTGTGAAGTGACACTAGTAAGATCTCCACTTTTGTGGGAGCAGGTTACCTATGTATCTTTGGTTCACAGTTAATCTGGAAAAAGAAAGAAAAAATGAAAGTTATCCAGTGTTATTGGGTTATGCCATGATCAGTTATTGGAACCTTTCTCTCTTCCTCTGCCTTCCCATTCCTTACCTCCATTTAAAAACAATTAGCAATCTCTAATAGCTGTCTCCATCGGCAACAATATTGTGGGCATGTGTGTGTAGAGACGCACTTCCACAATAACATCAATAACTCCCTAAAAACACATTAACCAAGGAGACAGCATTTAAATGACGGAACTAAGCAGTGGGAAGCATTTTCTCCATAACAACCCTTAAAAACTGTAATTGACCGCCCCCTTCCTTTAATCTGCATCTTGTACATTGTTTCCAATGTCCAAGAGAGATGTCAAATCCCCCCCACCCAATCTTTTTCAAAATAAGAAATCACCATCGTTAGGAGAGCTTGCGAATTCAGTTTCCTGTGCTCAGCTGCTTGGCAGCAGATAAAGGAGGGAGGCAGTGTGTTGCTGGGTTTATACAGAAGAACTGCTAGAATAGATGTCAGATTCCACCGGCTAGTGCAACTGCTTTTGAGAGCTCCTACTTCTGCCTTGGCTGCCCAGTACCCTCTTTCTCTCTGATTTGAAGTTTTGGTTTTATTTGAATGTGCTTTGCAAGGGACAGAGTAAGCCTACTCAGGAGAAGAGCTGGTTCTTTTCAGCACCACCAAAACGGGACAGTTCTCACGAAGTCTTTGGACTGCAAGCCTTCTGATCCTTTTGTCCTACCACAAACTGGACTCTGGAGCCACCTGGTACCATGGAGCTGTCCACCATCCCTGGTGCTGAAATCTTTTACAACAGCACCTTGCAGAACTCAAGTTCTCTCCCAACTTCCAATGCCACAAATCAATTGCCAATGAAAAATACTACTTCAATCATCATAGCTATTGCTATCACCGCCCTATATTCTGTCGTATGTGTGGTGGGACTTTTGGGAAATATCCTGGTAATGTATGGCATTGTCAGGTAAGAAAAAGGTTCCAAACTAACAAGCCCAGTTTGTTCTTTGACTAGATGAGGGGAGGTTTTATGCCTATGTGATTTGGCTGGATGCCACCAGGGTCATTGGAAAGAAAGAAGACATGAAGTAGATGTGTAGGGAGATTGGGAGAACTATGTGCAGCATGAACTTGTGACATAAACTTGTAATGTAATGTAGTCTGTGTGAAAGAGTAAAAGAAACGTCACTTGCATGCCAAATGCATTAATAACCATGATTAAAACAAATCTGGTTGTGCACTGAGTGAAAATAGAATGACTATTTGAAGGAAATTTAGAGCCATATCTGTGCATTCAGCAATGCACTACCATGTGGAAATTAGGATAGAAATGGAACATTAAAAATGTGGGCATTGGGTTTTGTGACTCAAGAAATGATGTGTTTCACTGCATGCATTTTTAACTGCAAAATGAAGGTACATCCTCTGTAGCTATTGTTATGTTTTTAGAAAATTACCATAGCTGATACATTTCTGGAACAATGTAGATTTTACAGTGCTAAAAATTCTGCCCACTATGAATTTTATATATGGCTATATATGAATGAAGGGAGAAATTCAAACAATAGCAACAAAAATGCAACGACTTTTCAAATAGGAGCATCTTGCTCAGGCAGGATAAACTCCAAGACATATTCACTCTCAGTTTGTGAAGATGAAAAACATTGTTTTCTTTCAATTCATCTATCAAGAGAGACCTGTATGGGAGATATATGTATGTTCCTGTATGGGAGATATCAATTTTTCTAGAAATGCAAGAAAGGTTCAAAATGTTGAACAAATAAAATCATAAACAGAAACATCAACGTTTCTGAAACAATATGTGCTTTGTCAGTATGTTGTCCTCAGCATAGCTTCCTTCAAATATGTTGGACTACAAGTCCCAGAATTTTAGGCTGCCTGAAAATTATGGAAATTGTAGTCCCTCCTACCTGAAGAATAGTTGGTTGGGGGGGCCAAGAATATTTCATAACTTTGGGATTTGGCTTATGAAAGTCATTTTTATTGTACTGAGAAATTTCCAAGATACCTCATATTTAATGACACCATCAGGGATCTGAATTTATCTGATAAGATTTCATTTCACAGGTATTTGTTCTAATAGTACTATTACCTCCAAAGAGAAATCTTATCAAATTAATTCAAATCCCTGATGGTGTCATTAAATACTTCTGCAATCACTTTGGTTTAGGTCTAATGAACCTGCATTCCAGCCACTGGTCCCAACAGAGAAATATTTTTAATCCTGACAAGTACCAATTATGAGACTTACCGCCAAGTCTCTTTTCTGTTTAGAAATGCTGAGATTAAACCTGGGAATTCTTCACAGAGTCACAGCCCCTTTATTTTTGTGTCTAGAATTGTGACGAGAAAGTTGCTTAAGAATTACTTCTTTGCTTCTGCCTCTTTTCATTTTTTTAAACCAAAATACTGTAACTTCTGATTAAGTCTAGCCAAGCAAAGAACTGACCTCTCATACTTCAAATGGCATATTATGCAAACAAACAGGCCCCATTTTGTGAACTGGGTTGCTCACTTAGAGGCTGTGTGAGTCAGCATTCACACATTAATCTGAGGGAAGAGTGCCAATATGGGTTTTTTTCCCCTTTGTTGTTTCTGAGTCATGCAAAGCAGAGAAATGGTTTCCTTTCATGCAAGCAATTCAAAAACCCATCTGCAGATTCCTGTCTTGCCTGTGTATTTGACAGAGAAAAGCTTTGGCAAAGTCACCACTAATATGCAGTGCCCCTGAACTCAGGAGACTCAGAACTTGGCATGCCAAGGAAATTGTATTTTGGGCTCAAGTTATGAAAAAAATCTGCTTCTGGAGTAAAATACCTCAAGGATGTAGTTTGTGTCTATTAACATTTATTTTCTGTATTTTCCCATTTTGCTTCCCAATGGTTGACTGAAGTGATACAACAGAACAGGAAAGTATTTTAAGTATAGTAACTTGGAGCAATCATAAAGAAAATTTAGATTTACTGAATGGAAATATTCCATCTGTTAGCATTCACCAACCCTCACCAAAAAAATCCCTTGCTATTTTCAAGCCTTTATACAATTTCCAATTTTGTCCTAGACTTATGAGGTCTAATAGCTTGATCTTTTCTGCAAATGGGAGCTGTGATATCAAATATTCTGAAAAACTCTTTGTGTGAGAGTTCCATAGAGAATTGGTCATTAAGAGCAAAACCTTATATAACTATTGATAAGTAATTTCTAGCAGATTCAGTGTAACCGATTTCAGGATTTGGAACCTGCATCTCCCTGATTAAGACCAAATACTAGTATCTCTTTGTAGGGCTTTGTTATTTCAGAAGATGGAAGATTTCTGCAGAAATCTGGATGAGAATTAGATAGCTTCAAAGAGGTGCAGAAAAAAAATTGCAGCTCAGGGTTGAACTGTGTGGTCCTTGGTGCTCTCTGAACTTGATTGCTTTCTTGCAGATGTTACATTACCCAACTTTCTTGCAGATGTTACATTACCCAACTAGTGGTTCCTTGATTAGACTGTTGTTTCATTGATGTTAGATTGGAGTACAAGAAGTAAACAATACTCCAATCAAGGAACTACCAATTCAGACAAATAATCAAACAACAGCCTAGGAACCACCAAGACCATTCCCCCCAACACTGACAGGGTAATCCACTACTATATAAAGTGAAAGCAAGCTCCATTCCCTCCTAGCAGTGATGATGTTACCTAGTTTGGTATTGAAACATCTGCAAAAAACCAATCAAATTCAAGGACGGAGATTAGAAAATCTAACTCTTTGCTCTCATCCGGATTGTTGCAACCCAGAACTGTTAGCTGTGCTGAATATCTATGCAACAGTTTGCCTAAATTATCAACCACATTACTCTACATCAGTGATTCTCAACCTTTCTAATGCCATGACCCCATAATACAGTTCCCCATGTTGTGGTGACCCCCAAGTGGGTGTGGCCACTAATAAGAGGGAGTAGGACAGCTAGGAAAAAGGGAAAAAAATGGCGGACAGCATGGTTTGGTGACCCCCGTGAAATGGTCATTCGACCCCAAATGGGGTCCCGACCCACAGGTTGAGAACCACTGCTCTACATGCTGTGCCTGATGCAGTTTATACAAGTTTACAAATCTTAATTTGTTCATTTGGCGGTGAAATGCCAAGATACTAACAAATTGTGTTGCCATTTTCTTTTCCAACCCAAACCGCTAATGTTGGTCGTCATACTTAATTTGGAGCCAAATTATCTTAAAAACTTTTTTTTCCTCCTGATAAAACTACCATGTTCTGAAGTCAGCTACAGAAACATGCAAGGATTAAAGCTTGGAACAATTGATTTGAAAGGCAAAATAAGATTCATAGCATGCATGGATGTGCACATAGCACCTGTCAGGAACTAACACAACATGTCTGCTCTTAGAATTGCACAGCATAATCACATTTTGCCTTCAAGCCGGACTGCTGCACAACCCTAACCCTAACCAAATTTGTTTGGCTGCTAAGACATAGAATCCTAAAACTGAAAAGTCCCTCAATCACCAATTAAGCTTCATCTTTCAAAGAGTTGGGACTCTTTCCAGAATGGCCAATCAAGGAAAAATGATGAGCAAAGAAGAGAACAAATACAAAAAAAAAAAACAACACCAAGCTCAGGCACCAGTTCTAAACATAATACTTCACCTAGTGACCTTTTCAGATTTTACAGACAGTTCATGGATTGGAAGCAGTTAGATCAGGGGTCTTCAAACCTGGCCCTTTTATGACTTGTGGACTTCAACTCCCAGAATTCCTCAGCGCCTGGCTGAGGAATTCTGGGAGTTGAAGTCCACAAGTCGTAAAAGGGCCAGTTTGAAGACCCCTGAGTTAGATGATAACTGGCAACAATCAACATAAACTGGTTCCTGATTGCCATAATGAACAGTATGACTGCTATAGTGACTGGTACATTACTTTACCTATTCGTTTAGTGACTCGGTTGTTAAGTGAATTTCGCTTCTCCATTGACTGTGTTTGTCAGAAGGTCACAAAAGGGATCACATGACCCCGGGACGCTGCAACTGTCATTAGTATGAACCAGTTGCCAAGTATCTGAATTTTGATCACATGATCCTGGGGATGCTGCAATGGTCGTGTGAAAAACAGTCATAAGTCATTTTTTCCAGTGTCATTGTAACTTTGAGCAGTCACTAAATGAACTGTTGTAAGTCGAGTACTATCTGTATTCATTAAAAGATGCACATGTGATAATTCCCTGCATATTGAATTACACTCCTGTTGTATAAAAAAAATCAAAATCAAGAGAAATTTTTGGAGAGGTCTTATTATATAAATAGTTTACATATGCAGATCTAGATGTACAGATCTAAATCTTCCATTGTATTTTTTTTCCTTGCTGATGTGAACTCTCGCACTCATGTTAATAAATTAGCATTTTAGTAATCAGTGATGGAAAACACTTAGGCAGAAAATTCCATTTCCTTTAACATCAAAAGGTCAAATCTAGAAATTTATGACAAGCTGCCAATGGGGATTTCTATGATTGTGCATAGAAACAGGGTTGGGGGTACCACAAGATACAGAGTTTGTGAAGTCCAATGAGCTAAACTTCCAATTTTGCGTCCTCGCCCTGTCACTTTCAGATAGTTCGCTTGCTAAAGAAGCCATAGCTTGACCATAATTGGTCTTCTACCCATGTTTCTGATTCCTTTGACCCATTCTAAATGGAGCAGCTTTAGAAAGCAGATTAGAGACCGTGCTTGGTTCAGAAAGCAGCTGCTGCTTCTCAGTATACTTCTATTTATATTTGGCTATTCATCAAAATCACAGAACAGGTAGCTGCAATAATAAAGTAGTCACATAAAATAATGGAAGGCTATTGCAAACTTTAAAACAAACGAAGCTAAATAAACACTAGGAAAGGAAACAAGCCATCAACCAGTCATCAATGAATACACAAGGAACAAGTGAATCTTAGCCA